CCTACGTTATTCTTCATGCGTTAAGCCTCTGCACTACTTCTTGGCATAAGGAAGAATTGGTTTTATCACAGTGTGCTTTATAATGAAGCAGAAATATAAGAAAATTTTATTTCATTCAGTGAATATTCAGTTTACCAAGTCGAAGAATGCGAGAAGTCCGACCAATATGCCATTGCGATGGTGCAGCTTTTTAAATTTCCATGTTGCATAGAGCAATTGCGAGTTACCAAATAGACCAAATATTGCAACTGGGAGTATTACAAATTCTGTCAATTTTACCATTTTTCGAAAAGTTATGTTCTTGATGAAAATTTGTGGGACGGAATTGCAGCTGCAAAAAATTTAGTGATCTCAGTACACCTCGCAATGAGTCCAGAAGCTGGAAGAGTTGGAAGACAGGTTTGTCCTTTGGGAAAAGCTGATAATCAGTCAAACTAGACTCACTTCGTGATCCCGTATTTTGTGAGGGAAATTGCAAGGTTCGTCAAAATTGCCTGGTTCACCGACGTGGTTCCCATGGTAACCTGCGTTGTACAAACGTGTAATGGACGTGTTTTTCAGTGTTGTGAGGAAAACAAGACAATGAAAAATCAACTGATCAAAACATCAAATTAGCAACCTTCACTGCACTGTTAGCAGCACTCTTCATCCTCGAGTTATTGCCATCAAAATTATTATACAATTGTTATACTGTAAAATTGTTATACTGAGGGGGAGCGCAATCTTTCGATTCCAAAGTTCACAGGCTTTATGATTTTGGGAAATTCGCGTCATATGACAGCCATTTTGCGCTCACTGTCTGGCTAAAGTTCATACTTCTATGTGGATTAGTGAAATTTGTCAATTTCTATTTATCCGGTAACGGAACCTGTACACTAGATCCCCTTTAATTTGGAGAAGGGCACTGAAAATTTCGTAAGAATTTAAGAAAAGAACTCTTCAAACACTTAAAATTAAACAATTTCGGATGAAAAGCAAGTTTGTTAGTCTAGTAAAAAACAAATGAAGAAACAGTGACAAGGGCTTCAGAATCATATGTCATAGATGTCATTTAACTCACGGCACTTTGCTAAACTTTATAGACTTCTTCACCATTTGTTCACATAGAATTTCAGGCAATTGAAATTTGTCGAAATAGCAATAAGCGACAAATTCCATGCATGAACAGAAAAAATGAATTTGACAAGCTACTTTATGCAGACAATAGATTCCATGATCTTACCATGCTATCATAAATCGCGTCCTGTCGCATCCGATCACAGACTTGTTAATAAACTATTTAGTCGTTGCAGACTGCATAGCGAAAAGCGTTCATGAATTGAGTGTTTGGAAATGTTTAGCGCATGAAACAAGGAAATGAGCTTGAAAATCCAGGCTCGAGCGCACCAGGTGGGCCGGTGCGACCACGGGTTTTTGCACTTTTCGTGCCTTAGCAAGATCTCAAGGAATCGCAATAGCTAGCCCTGTGACATACTGGCCCTGGAAGTTCGGGAAATTAATTGTGCAGCTATGTGATGTGCCAGTTGTAGATGTCGACTTAAGTGACTCGACAAAAAGAAAGTTGTTGGTCCGCGAAAAAGGCCCCACTAGAAGAGTTAAATTTGAAATCTTTTAGTCTCACGTGAGTAGGGAACATTTCCTTAAAATTAAAGCCTTTCAGCTTTTTTCGTTCCCAAGTTAGCAGCTTTCCCACCAAAATTTTCGCTTCGCCGTACGCCAGTTCCGACGGTTCTAAGGAGCTGAAATTGAAACCTTTTGGTCGTACATGAGTAGGGGACATTCCTCTAAAGTTTCAGCTTTCTAGTTTTTGTTGTCGAGTTAGCAGTTTCCCGCCAAAACTTTTGCGTGGTCGTACGCGGGACCCAGACATGCGTGAGTGTTGATACGGCGGTCCTGGGTGGCACTTGACCGGGAAACACATTGGCAAAATCTGAGCTTCAAAGCTTGCATGGTTGGCGAGTTGAAATACCCGGATAGATGAACATAGACACACAAATACACACACACACACACACGCACACATACACACACACACTGACAGGGTCGTTAAAGTATGTGTTTTTGCTGCCTGTTGCAGCGCTCTAGACCTGCATGGCAAAAACGCATAATCAATGCAAAAAAGCCGGTACAAAGCGGTGGTACGGCAGCTTCTCGTTTGCCGATACGGTGCTAACTTGAATGAACCTTACAGCCGCCTTTATCGTTGCGATCGAAGCTTATACTGTTGCGCAGTCTTTGTAAAAGGTCGGCAGTGTTGAAAGAGTGTGTTGCACGGGGTGCAATAGCCAAAACTTTCATAAAGAAAGTATTTGTTTGCAGTGAGTGAATGGAGCACAAGAGCCGGTAGCGCAGTGGTATGGCATGTCGCGTTTGGATTTAAAGACGAGTTGTTTGATTTCATGCCGCTGTACAACCATTTATAAAAAAATGCTTCGTTCGCGAGATACGCACAGTAAAACAACCATTGTTTCTACAAGACATGCGAAAACATTTTTATGCCATCTCAAAAGACACTGTACAATGGACGCGAACTAAAATTAGGATTGATCATCTGTATTACCTGTCATTCACACAAAAATACAGGAAAGGTAATTGTAAGCATGTGGTATCGTTTATCTCGAAAACACGTTTAAAACAGTTGCTTTAAATGTAATTGTTTTAAACATTCAAAACAGTTGTTTTTCACACAAGCAATTTGTTAGAAACGAATAAGTCATCGTTGAAAAAAGACCGAATCTAACGAAATTCAATATAATCAAAACTGGTAAAATTAAAAATTCAGAATCAAAAGTTTAAAAAAGTAATATTTCAAAAAATATTAAATCAGATAAAATCCTAGAGATGAAATTCAAAAAATACTCTTTTCTAGAATTTTTTAGTAATATTCCGATTAAGTGGGTCATTTTTGTAATTCACTTATTGGAGGCTTGATCGATCCCAGGAGTCACCTCTTTTTTATCTTACTTTATCCATTATATTGTACCAGTAATTCAATCAAATCAAATCACGATTCCTTCGCAACCATGCTTGAAAAAGAGGTTTCACATGCAGCTTGGTAGCTCCTGGAAAAACTTTAATCCTGAAGTAAAGTGTGCCTTCACTAGGAAAAAATCCCCCGTGTACGCTCGGTCGGCTGATCAAGATTATTTATTGCTGTGTTACATTGTTTTCTAAAAATCTGTCCTCGCATAGTTTTTGTAAAATTCGCTAAAACAGCCGGATTCCCTGAAGCAGTCTAAGTGTCCAGCATTAATGACACAAGTATTTTTATAGTTAATACTCATTGCCAAAGAAAAGAAAATATGAAGAGAGTAAAGCGTCGCTGAGGGATGGATGATTGGCTACAAATTACGGGAATACGGCTTCAAAATTATTAAATCGTAATCGCTGGTAAAATCGTAAAGTCAAATTTGTTGTGGCTTCTCAGTGAAATGCCTTAAGTGCAAAATTATCCAGTTTCATCGTTTTGCATTTCATATAGTTGAATACTCAAAATTACTCAAATGTCTAAAAACTATATCCGAATACTTTTTAAACTCCTTGAAATAGCTAAGTATTTAGGAGTTATGCTTGGACACCTCAAATATTCAAGTACTCTCCTTAGATTGTTTTTCCAGCTTGTAGTTTCTCCAAATGTATTTGTGGCACATGTGTACCGTATACCTTCTCATTAATTCTATCTTTTCTTCCAAGGCTAGGAAAATCGATTAACGTTTTCTGAGAAATACATGTTTTTGCTAAAAATTGCTGATTTAACTAATTCGAATTTTTGGCGCCAAAGTGACGGGTAAAATTGCTGTATGCAGCAACTGCTTTGGGGAAGGTAAATGAATTTGTGCAGCGTTAGGCTTTTCAAAACTTAAAAATGTCACATGTAAAGTTCTTGCGGCTTTGGTTTTAAGGGGCCGACAACGCAGTAAGCTTATGAATACGGCCCGATAACCGTTACTGGACCAAAACAGGATGTAGTAGTTGCTGCCATAATTGAGGAGCACAAGAATTGTAACATATGTTGAGATATCATCCTGAAAGAAGTGTTGGATTTTCATTAGTTATTGCTGTGATTGCACGGCACAGTGGGAAGCATGGCGCCAAACTTACCTTATAATGTTTTGGGACTGGCAGGAAATTTATTAATAAAAGAATTGACGATGCAAGAGCAGCGCCAAAAACGTAACTGAGCATGATGATCGTTATTGATCTGGTTACTCGTAGCTGCGCTTTGTAATGGGCTGCATCCTGCTCAGCTGCAATGGACAGATACTTTCAGCTACTTTTACAACTCATTTCTAGTTATGCGGCTGGCAATTTTTCCATCTGTTTTGACCAGTGCTGCATCGCTTGATAGTCAACATGCTAGCAATTTTGACATTCGTTTTTATGCGCTTTTGCTACAGCGAGCAATAAATAGCAACGCGCACCAGACTAGCCGGTGCGATCATACGTTTTGTGCAATTCGTCCACTGAACGATTGCCTGCTAATGATTTTCACTGCTTTGTACTTTAGCCTGCGAAAAAATAGTTGAAACGTTGAAAAATAGTTCAAAGTTTCACGCACCGACATATGAATTCTCACGCAGCAGCGCTACCGTAAAACTGCAGCTTCCAGGCTTTTATGGTTCCTAAGGTAATAATTTCCTT